TCAAATGATAAACACTGATGGAAGTGTTTACAGACAGGCCCCTTGCCCTGTCTTCGTTAATCACGTTTAACAGTTAAATTTGATTTTGTAAAAATCTAGAGTGTATCCCTCCTGGAGATCTGAAGTAGTACCTTTCTCAAGTCATATAGACTGGAGAATGAAGCACAGAGAAGCCCCGTGTCTGGAGCCCATGAGCATCTGTATAGATGTAGGGTAGAGAGAGGCTTAGTGGCCTCCTGTGTCCTCCCTAATTTTGCAGCTCCCAGTCCCAGTGATGCCATCAGATTGCACTTTGCAATTTAAAGTCTGGACATCTTTCTTTGTTTTTTTATTTCCTCAAGCTTCTCCCATCCATCTCCCTCACAGCCCCTGAGCTGCTTACCTTACTCTCCATGATCCTCTCCTTACTTCCTGTCCCCTTCTTTCCTTCCAGTATCCTCCTTATACCTCCACTCTGTTCAAGCTATCTTGCTCCTACTATCTCACCCTCTCCTGCTATTCCTTCTTATCCCATCTCTGACCCATAATAATAAAATAGAACTAAGATGACATTATCTCCAATCGCTTTGCTTGTGTGTTCTCCTCTCTTCTCCCCCTCTCCTCATCTGATTCTTCTTTAGACCAAAAGCTTTTTGAAGCAGGGTCAGTTAGGAAATCATGTGGTATATTTTGGGCACTGCTGCTATATCAATAACCAATAAAAACACCTACAGTGTAATATTACGGCAGCAAAAGTGTTTTTTCCTGATTCTCAGAAACAAAGAAACAATGAAGTAAATAGGCTATCATAGGCGCCAACTCTGTGGGTGCTCTGGGGCTCAAGCACCCACAAAAAAAAAGCAGGGTGTTCAGTAGCCACAAGCTACCAGTAAGTGGCAGCAACATGTACCTAGCACACAGTGATACTGGAAGGGGGAAAGCACCAAGCGGCAAAAACAAAGGTCAGCACCTGTGCAGACTGTATTGTGTACCTGGCATTGGATTTGCATACCTACTTATTGTATCATCTCTCTGGAGAAAGAAGTACAAATAGATGAAATCATGGTTGATTAGGCTGCACTTAAGAGTCACATCTCCATATTGAAAAGAGCAAATTCCATTTAAATACTGTATCCATTTAAATGGTGCGTTGTAATTCATAAAACGCTATGCAGTTGAGGCAGGTTTGAGTCACCCATCCATCAAAGGAATTTTGTGAACTGCTGTGGGTTGGGGTCAGGGCTGGGGCAGAAGCAGCCAATTAGGGCAAGGCTTATTAGGAGCCAGACAGAAGGCAGCTGCTGGGGCAGCCCAGATATAAGGAGCTGCCCAGCAGAGCAGAGGGGAATTTCACCCTGACAAGCAAGGGAGGAGGACTGGCTTCCAGGGATAGCACCTAATATAGAACAGTGCTGGGTAGGCTCAGGGGAGTGGAGGGTGAGCTCTGGCCTGTTACCTGCTAGGCTGCAGGCCCTTGCTAGAAAGGGCCAAGAAGGTGCAAGAGCCAAGGGGAAGTGGCCCAGGGATGATAAGCAGACAAGGGGAGAGAAGTTAGGGAGAGAGGCACCTGCTAAAGGGTCCCTGAGTAGAGGGTGTGCCTGGATTCCCCCCCCCTTCCTTTGCACTGCACCTGGCCGCAGAGGAACATGGCCAATACAGACTACAACTTGTAGCTGAAGTGAGGGATAGACTTTGGGCCTGTGGCAGGTGCAAGCCAAAGGACTGCCATGATGCCTGGAATGGGGGTGAGAAAGAAGTAGTGGGCACTGCCAGAGGGACACCGCCGAGCAGGGGAGCAACGTGGGTCCAAAACAGCAGAGTAGAGCAAAACACCACCCACAAGACACCACCCGCAGAGGGTGCTCTGGAGCTGGACAGAGCTAATTCCCGGAGCAACCAGCAGGAGGCGCTGCGGTGGTGAGTCTGCAACCTGTTATAGTACTCTTTTTGAATATCTCCAGAAAAATCAGTATTTCATGAAGCTTTATAGATCGTTAATTCACAATTTGCTGGTATTTTAGAAATGACTTAACTAGCCAACTTGAGGCATTTTATTGGTGTAGAACCTAACATCTGAACTTAAAAGTACAAAATAGTTACAGTGGCTCTTCTATCTATTCTATGAGTAATTTATTTCTGTATCCTGGATAAAAATGTCTTTAATAAACCTTGATAAAGAAACCAGTGCCTTTAAAGAAATGCATTATGCTGCAGGCGAAGGTTACACTTTGTAGTAACGTTTGTTTAGTTTTATAGTAAATACATTTTTTCAGATATAGTGTATATCAAAATACTTTGCATATATGGTTGTGAAGGAAGTGCAAGATGAAATAACCAATGTGCTGGTTTAAAGTGGAACTGTGGTGCAATGTACTGCAGTACAATTAAATCTTTCATCAACTTCCTTCTCCTTCTACTCTAATCTCTAGTCTGTTAACAGATGTCACTAATTCCTTTCCACACCTACTGCCAAAACATTTGTTTATGACTTGATGAAACCAGACTTGGGTTACTGCAGTCTCCTTTCTTTCAGCCTTCCTGGCTTCTGTCATAGGTTTTACCCCCACTCTGGACTTTAGAGTACAGATATGGGGACCTGCATGTGAACCTCTAAACTGAATTACCAGCTTAGATCTGCTTTTGCTGCCACCACCCAAATAGTTTGAGTCATTTGGGAAACTCAGTCTCTTACCCCCCCCCCCCAAAAAAAAAAAAAAACCTTTCCCTCCCTGGATAGCCTTGACAGACTCTTCCACCAATTCCCTGGTGAACACTAATCCAAACCCCTTGGATCTTAAAACAAGGAAAAATCAATCAGGTTCTGAAAAAGAAG